ATGATTCTGGCTATTGCGTTGATGACCTTCGCCGCCTTCTCGCAAGCATATTCGACGTGGCTGTTAAAACTTAACCGGTTGTCGATCATCACTCCCAGATACTTCAGCACGCGCTTAGAAACAATGGTGTGCTCTCCAACGATGATTACTTCCCGCTGCACTGCTTTGCATTTACTGACCAACATCACTTCTGTTTTGTGGTGGACTATCTGCAGCTTCGCTCCTTGCATCCAGTTTCCAATCGCCTCGGCCGCCAGCATTTCCACTTATTCAAGCGTCTCACCGGTTACCGTTAAGACGACATCGTCCGCACAAGCCAACGATCTCAACTCCTTTGGGCAGCTTGAGCGTCAGCACGCCATTGTACATTCCGTGCCACAGTGTGGGACCTAGAATGGAGCCTTGTGGGACTCCCGCCGTGATTCTAAGCGATTTCTGCCCCGTGTCTGTCGCGTAGACCAGGACCCGGTTCTGGAAGTAACTACTTAGAATCCTGCAGAGGTAGTCTGGAACCCTCATTCTATGAAGCGCCTTGGCGATGGCCTCCCAGCTGGCGCTATTGAATGCATTCTTCACATCAATCGTAATCACGGCGCAGTATCGATTTCCTCTCCGCTTCTGTTCGGAAGCTTTCTGGGCTCTTTCAATCACTGTCCGAATAGCATCCACCGTCGATCTCCTTTTGCGGAATCCAAACTGCCTCTCCGACAATCCGTGTTCACTCTCCGTGCATTTCGTCAGCCTATTAAGGATGATCCTCTCCAAGAGCTTTCCGACAGTATCCAGCAAGCATATTGGCCTATACGATGCAGGATCCCCCGGCGGTTTTCCGGGCTTCGGCAACAGCACAAGCTTTTGTACTTTCCACCTATCAGGGAACTGACCCTCATCCAGACATTTCTGCAGCACCATCCTGAACATGTCCGGGAACGTCTGGATCGCCGCCTTCAACGCCACGTTGGGAATTCCATCCGGGCCGGGAGCTTTATTCACTTTCAACCCTTTCGCTGCTGCCTTGAATTCCTCGTTGAAGACTTGTTCAACGTTGTCTTCATCTTCCTCGCCATATGGTGTAGGTGGCCAGTTCGTTGGGTCATGCTGTGGGAAAAGTCCCTCCACGATGACTTTCAGCTTGTTGGAACACATTTCAACCGGCATCGTTGGACCTCTGATCTTTGCCATCGCGACTCGGTATGCATTGCCCCAGGGCTTGGCATCGGCGTCGTGGCACAGCTCCTTGAAACTATTTGACTTGCTCAGCTTTATCTTTCGTTTCAGTGCAGCCCTGGCCTCTCGGAACACCACCCTACGCTCCTCTCGGACTGCTTCTGTTCTTGCTCTCTGAGCACTCCTTTTGGCTAGAAGACAAGTAGCACGGAGGGTGCTAATTTCCTCGTTCCACCAGTAAGCTGGACGCCGCCTGTTCGTTCGCCGCCTTGCTAATGATTCGGTCAACTCGTTCGCGCTTAGGCCCGGGACGCTGTTACCCTTAGAGCTTCGATGAAGAGATCCTTATTGAATGCCTTCGTCTTCCACTTCCGCTCACTTACTTTCGTCCTCCGCATTTCCACCGGTGTCCGTTCGCCGATACTATACCGGATCGCCTGATTTGGACACCTAGGGTCACTATAGGTGTACTCTTCACACACTCTCCAGTTCATATTTGCCATTAGCGACGTACTGCAGAAAGTGACGTCGATAATGGATTCCCTACCATCTTTGCGGAAGGTGCTGATGGTTGCTAAGTTGGCCACACTGACGTTCAACTTTGCCAGAGCTTCCAGCGTTGGTACACCTGCTCCCCAAACCCACTGCCCAAGCATTGAAATCTCCTGCGATGACGACTGGTCTTCGTCCGATGAGCTCTCCGGTGAGCCCATCTAGCATCTGGTGGAACTGCTCAATTGTCCATCTCGGGGGTGCGTAGCAAGTACATACATAGATTCCATTGATTTTTGCGATCACGAAACCTTCGTATGAGCCCGCCACCACTTGTTGAATGGGATACCTGTCCATGACTTGCATGGCCGCCATTCCTGCTCTATCCACCACCCAGTTACCATTATCGAGAGGAACTCGATATGGCTCTGCAATGATAGCAACGTCGCACTTTGTTTCCGTTGTCGACTGCCACAACAGTTGCTGTGCTGTGTTGCAATGATTGAGATTTACATATTTGGGTTACCTCCATTATTACTGGCCCACCATCGCCTTCTTAAACTCTGGGCACCTGAAACTTCCCGTCACATGGCCGTTTCCGTCCTCCTTTTTGCAGAGCATGCACCTCGGTTGCTTTGTACAGTCTTTTGCAACGTGCCCCTTCTCTCCGTATTTCCTGCACAGATCAGATCTGTCTGGGCCTTTGCAGTTTCTCGCCTGGTGACCGAAGCCCATGCATTTGTAGTATCTCTCCATTTTCTTAGATACCCGAGGAATAGCTTTCAACGGGCACACTGACCACCCAACCTTGATTTGGCCAGTCTTCAGCAGCAGCTCCGAAGAAAGTCATGTCGACGCCGTCTGCGTGCCACCATTAGCCTTCCTCAACCGAATTGCCATCTGTACGTCTCCCAGGTTGCATTGCACCTTCAGCGCACTTTTAAACTCGTCTTCTGTTGTGATCTCGTCCAGATCCCTGCACTCGACCGCTGACTCCTGGGATAAGGATCTTACGTTCGCCGTCTCGCCAAGAGATTTTTCGACGAGCTCCTTAAAAGCTGCGCTCTTAACCGTAGGGTCCTTCTTCAGCTCGAATAGCATCTCACCTTTCTGGGTTCGCCTTGTTTTCACCACGTTCTCGCCTAGTTGTTTCAACTCCGGATCCTCTCTCACTTTCCGCAAAAGTGCTGCGTAGGACGTTTTGTCCTTCGCCTCAACAACCAGAGCGCCACCCTTGCTTCTCTCCCTACGAGGCCTAGGCTTCTCCTTGTTCTTCCTGTCTTCCTTCTTTCTCGCTTCCTCTTCCTTCTTCCTCACTTCATCTTCCTTCTGTTTTTTCTTCCTCTCCTTCTGGTTCTCGACTTTACGCCACCCACCATTTTCTCCCATCTCCTTGATGCCTTTCTCGTCCTTGCGTTTTTTGGGCTCCTCCTCATCTCCTGGCGTGTCTCTATCTCTCTTTTCAGGACGTGGATTTGTGGGTCCCTTCGGCGTCTCATGTGCTTCATTCAGTCTTATGCTCTCCTTGCCCTCCCGGAGAGCCTTTTCGGCATTTTCGGCTCTTTTTCTCCACTCTTGAAATTCCCGATCTGCCACTGTTATGCCGGATTTGCTACCGGTCACAAGGTACTTGATCTCTTTGTGTACGTTGTTTTTATCCTTCATGAACACATAGAGTTCATCGATCTTCCTCCTGACCTCCATTATTTTGGTTCTCCCAAGCTAGAGTCCTTGAGATTTGCTACTGCTGGATATCGGTGTGAATATCTGGCTTAGCCCAACGCCTGGGTGCTCTTCTTGGGACTTACTGCTGCTGCTGGAACTCGCAGTGGCCTCCAGGTTCACTGGTAATCTCTGCAATATCCCGCTCCTTGCGAATATGTTCGCTCCTACGTTTTCACTGTCTGCCGTCGTCCTTCATTTTTTTTTTCTTCATTTTTCATTTCTCCGGGCCGCTATCTCCACTCGTTGTATGTAGTCTATTATCGTGATGGTTATCTATGCAAGCAGAGAGGCCATGCTAGGGTTAACACGGTCCTTCATGGGGGCCGTGTTCAGAGCCAGATCGGCGTAAGTCAGGAATGTTACATGAGCCTACTGCTCACCAACCACCAATTGGTGACGAGTTTTGAACGTATCCGGAGGCCTGCCAAGGTTTTGCCGGGACGGGGGCAGCCGCACTATTAGCCTACTCGCCATTTCAAGAAGGTGTCACCCTTCTTTACTCAGGGAGCGGAATTGCACGACTGTCAGCCCTGTAGCAGGGTATCCAATCCATTGTGCTGTGTCGTGTTCATAGTTCCATGCCGTGTCCAGTATGCCGTATTAAGGATCTTACTGGCGTCGATCATAATGTGATGGTTGGCACTACTGCGGGTTGACGAAACATTTCCTCTATCGCCGTGCTACTTTGCTATTCTAAGCTTTGCTCATTCTAAGCTTTGCTCGAAATTCTAGCAGAGCTTCTATGTAGTTCAATAAACTTCTACAAAATTCCTTCCTCTTCAATGATTTTTTGCGAACCCGAACATTCTCGAATTTATATGGAATTTGCTCAACTTGCACAAAGATCGGTAAACTGCAATAAAATCACTGTTGAAGGACAGAACGAAAGGAGAAAATCCAAAGCGGATTAAGAAATAAAATCAGTTCTGAGAATAATTCAAATTAATTTCTTAGGACTTTAGGAGTATGCCAAATGAATTCAACTATGAGTTCCGTAGGAGCAGCTTTTAAGAGAATTAAAACAATATTCCTAAAATAATTCAAAACAATATCGGGAGAATACGAAGACCGAACTCAAAGTGAATGTTGCCACCACCACAGCACCGGCAACCCGGCCCGCGGCGCTTTCGCTGTAAACAATTGGGCGAAACGAAGGTTCGCTCAAACAACACTAGGCGCGCATTGAGTGGACGGATGAGTGCAATACAGATCTCTATACAGGTTGAAATCAAAGAATAGAATACAATAGAATAATTGAATTTGGAATGTTTACCTATTGCGATAATGTGGTATCTTATCTATTTATGTGGTACCTTATAAATTAACTTGAAATTAATAGCTAAAAATATTGCTAGATATAGCAAAGTTGTTTGGAAATAGTGACTCAATGATTGTGAATTACTTTTGCAGATAATTAGACCAAGACGGACGTGGAATTAAGAGGAGTTACTATCAGTGTAATAGTGCACTGTTTAATGTGAGTAAGACTTTATAATGAAATAGTACACGGTGTTTATTAATTTGTTTTACAGCTTGAAGCATAAAATATACCTGCTATCAAGAACGGTACGAAGTTTTGTTCATTAATAACAAAACTTCAAGATTAAACATCTACGATGGTATCTGATAGATCCGATCGATCGGATGCGTCCTCAGTGGACGATGAAACAACAGAAGTCTATATTTGTGTTGCTTGTGAGAAGTCTGATGGGCCCGATGACTTCGTGGCCTGCGACAAGTGTGACAAATGGTGGCATTTTTCGTGCGCTGGAGTCGATGGAACTGTAGCAAACAAAGACTGGATTTGCCCGCGATGTTTACCATCACCTGTAACAGCTTCGATACGATCGACTACGTCGAGTCGGAGGGCAGATTTGCAACGCAAACGCCTCGTTGAACAGCAGGAACTGGAGAAGAAACAGCTGGAGTTGGAAAGGAAGCAGCTGGCGCTGCAAAAGAAGCACTCACAGGAGAAATACGATCTGGAGGAGTCGCTTGCGGAATACGCGGACAACCGCAGTGTAAAGAGCCGTGTGATCGAGATCGAAGCTCGAGAACGCGAAAAGCAAGTTCAAGATTGGGTTGACAAGCATACCTCCGCGAAGCAGAAATCCACCGTAAAATCTTCCGATACCACGAAGCTTCATCCAACTCTACCAAACGGCAGCGGTATTCCGTCCAGGAATGATGGAGCTGAAGATCAAGGTCTACTTGAAGAAGCTACTAACGCAGGAACGCTGCCAGATGATAGTTCGCTACAACAGTTTCTGAAGAATCGGATACTAGTTCAAAAACAACAGAAACGGCCAGCTCCTCATGGAAACTGAACTACGAAAATTTCGGTCACAGATGCAGCAATCGATGACAAGTGGAAAAGAGGATCAACCTGTCCCTGAAGATTCTTGTCCACGTCCCGATGCTTCCAAAGGAGCAATCCCTAAAACAGTTCCGATAGATTGGGACAACAAAGCCACTAGACATGTATAATGAGAGAGAGAAGGATTAGTATTTTCCATTTAATTCCACTACTTTATTTGCTTATCCTTGACAGATACGCGTATTTCGTCTACAATGTGCAGACTTCTTCAGTGTCTTGTACTAATACTCGAGTATTAGTACAAGACACTGAAGAAGTCTGCACATTGTAGACGAAATACGCGTATCTGTCAAGGATAAGCAAATAAAGTAGTGGAATTAAATGGAAAATACTAATCCTTCTCTCTCTCATTATACAGGTATTCCACTAAGACGCCCACATTCATCAGGATTCACTAGACATGGTCAACTTTCCATTACGAAGAACCAGAAGAAAAAGCCCGGAATTCCTGTTCCGGATCCACCTCTTCGTAATAGGAAGGAAAGCCTTGCAAAGGAAAAGATTCCAGAAGAACCGCGCAACCCACGTGTGAATACCGATTCTCCTAGTCACAACACGAGTGTGCCGCATCATCCATCTCCGCCTTCGATCCCAGCGAGTGGAATGATGGATGAAGATCAGCCGCAAACTCCGCCCCCACGCTTAATCCAGCCAGGGCCCGCTTGATCCACGATGAGTAGCCACGCTATCCACGCACGTGCTCGAACAACGCCGGAATTAGAGGCAACCCTCCCATAATTCAACACCCGTTTACCCCATCAAGATATCCTGAAGAGTCTTATCTGAGAAGACCATTACCGGAACAGCTGGCTGCTAGGCAAGTAATGCCCCGTGATTTACCGGACTTCTCGGGTGATCCAGAGGAGTGGCTGATTTTCTACAGTAGCTTCTACCACTCTTCTGCGGCCTGTGGGTTCAACAACGTGGAAAATCTCGCACGTTTGCAACGTTGCTTGAAAGGCAATGCTCTCAAGTCAGTGCGATATTATTTGCTCTCTCCCGAATCAGTTCCGGATGTAATTGAGACGCTTCGAACCTTGTACGGCCGCCCTGAAGTTATCATCAACAGACTGATTAGAAACGTGCAGGAGACACCAGCACCCAAACCGGAGAAGCTGGAAACGTTGATCGAATTTGGGATGTCGGTGAGGAATTTGACACAACACCTCGTTGCAGCGGGTCATCAAGCTCATCTTTTGAACCCGGTCCTTCTTCAAGAACTGGTTGAAAAGTTGCCGGCCAACATAAAACTTCAGTGGGCGCAACATCTAATGTTCCAACCAGAAGCGAGTTTGAGAACTTTCAGCAACTTCATGGCAATGGTAGTCGAATCGGTAAGCAAGGTGGTCGTCTATACGGGTGGTCAACACACCAAGAACTACAAATCTCGAGGAAAGGACAAAGGGTTCATCCACGCTCACACCGAGGGCCAAGCCGCTGTCGTGCCGATAAAAGAGAAGGGTGAGAACGAAAAATTTTGCTTATTCTGTGGAAAAGGAGGACATCGCCTGAAAGCCTGTACGAAGTTCCAGCAGCTATCGGTGGACGATCGATGGAAAAATATTCAATCGTTGAAGGTGTGCAGAAGCTGTCTTAATCCACATGGACGTCGCACGTGCAGATTTTCGAACCGGTGCGGAATCGATGGCTGTCAATTTCGCCACCACTAATTACTGCATGGGAAACGTGAAGCAATAGCGAATAAGCCTGCGCTCGCATCGGCTGAAAATCATGTTCATCATCACTGTGGACAGTCCATACTCTTTCTTATCATTCCCGTTACACTGTATGGGGAGTCAAAGTCCGTCAACGTGTTCGCATTCCTGGATGAAGGGTCTTCTGCAACGCTTATCGAACGTAGTCTGGTCGAAGAACTCGGTGTGAAAGGGCCAACAGCTCCACTGTGCCTCAAGTAGACCGGTAACATGACGAGAACCGAAGAGGAATCGCAGATCGTAACGCTTGATGTTTCCGAAATAGATCGGACGAAACGGTTCCAGCTGGTGAACGCACGCACAGTAGAAGATTTGAATCTGCCATCACAAACCCTACGCTACGCGGATCTCCAAAAGAACCATCCTCACCTCAAAGGTTTACCGGTACGAAGTTACGAAAGTGTCACTCCCAAGCTTCTGGTAGGCCTCCGAAACCTACAACTAGCCGTTCCTCAAAAAATCAAGGAAGGACGTAGTGGCATCGTAGCTGCCAAAACTCGCTTGGAGTGGTGCGTGTATGGAACCTTGGATCCAGTCAAAAAATCGGATGAGTATAGCTATCACGTGTGCGAATGCGAAGCGGAAGAAAGGTTGGACCTTATGATGAAGGATTACTTCAACGCCGAGGATTGTGGAGTGAATCATCGGGACGTACTAGATTCTGAAGAAGAGAAAAGAGCGCGCAATATTATGGAGGAGACTACGTCAAGAGTAGGGGATCGCTTCGAGACGGGACTTCTGTGGAAATCCGACTACGTAGAGTTAACCGATAGCTACTCAATGGCCATACGACGACTAGAGTGTTTGGAGAAGCGAATGGAGCGAGATCCACTCCTTAAGGAGAGCATTCATCGCCCAGTGACGGAGTACCAGGAGAAAGGGTATGCCCATAGAGCAACGGAAGATGAATTGACCAAGGCTGATCTTAGACGGATTTGGTAAAATTAGATTAATTTGGGATGCAGCGGCAAAAGTCGATGGAATGTCATTGAATTCCTTATTACTCCCTGGGCCGGATCTTCTTGTACCACTTCCATCCGTCCACTTTCGTTTCCGTCAATATCCGGTAGCAGTCAGTGGAGACATCAAAGAGATGTTCCACCAGGCAAATGTAATCGAACGCGATCAACCTTCACAAAGCTTCCTGTTCCGCGACAGTCCAGAGGATAATCCCATAGTTTTCGTAATGAACGTCTTGACATTTGGAGCCACCAGTTCTCCTTCATCTGCACAGTTCGTCAAGAACCGGAACGCGCAAGAATTTTCCGAGCAGTATCCGAGAGCATCGGGGGCAATTCACAAATGCCACTACGTCGACGATTATCTCGACAGTTTCGAGACGGTCGAGGAAGCAAAGTTGGTAGCTGGTGAAGTAAAATCGATTCACTCGAAGGGAGGCTTTGAAATACGAAATTGATCGTCAAATGACCAAGCTGTACTGGAACATTTGAGAGAACCAACGAAGGAAAAAATGAAAGATTTGTCGTTGAAGGCTGATTCAGAGCGCGTTCTGGGCATGTTGTGGTATACGGAAGCGGATGTACTGTGCTTTTCAACGACGTTCAGGGAAGAAATCGTGGCACTGATCAAGACGGTGAGTCCAACAAAGCGGTAAGTATTGAAGTGTGTCATGAGTCTCTTTGACCCACTAGGATTGCTGGCATGCGTCCTAGTACACGGGAAAATTATTATGCAAGATATTTGGCGGAGCGGAAGCCAATGGGACGAGCACATGAACGACAAAATCCACGAAACTTGGCAGAGGTGGATTGATTTGCTGGAACACGTCAACGAAGTTCGACTACCGAGGTGCTACTTCCGAAATGCAAGTGCTGATCTATACAATTAATTGGAAGCCCACGTATTCGTCGATGCGAGCGAAGCAGCGTATTCTGCAGTAGTGTATTTCCGGGTAGTAAACTCGGATGGGACGGTGGAATGTGGTTTGGTGTCAGCGAAAACGAAGGTTGCTCCATTGAAGTACGTCTCCATTCCTCGATTGGAGCTGATGGCGGCGGTCATAGGTATTCGTCTACTCTCGTTCGTGAGGGAAAGTCACACCGTTCACCTCAACCGTTGCGTCTACTGGTCAGACTCCGAAGTAACGTTGGCATGGATCCGCTCTGAACATCGAAGGTACCGACCGTTCGTAGCCTGTCGCGTTGGAGAAATTCTATCAGCGACTAAGTCAAGGATTGGAGGTACGTTCCGAGTAAACTAAACGTTGCTGATGATGCCACTAAATGGGGCGAGGGACCTCGCCTCGAAGAATCTGGCCGCTGGTTCAGTGGTCCACCTTTTCTACTACTGCCCGAAGAAAAATGTCCTAAACAGAAAAAGCTTTTCGATAGTACCGACGAAGATCTTCGAGCATACTACCTACACCAAGCAGTGCAAATCTTGCACAATCCGATAAATTTCGAACGTTTCTCAAAGTGGAACCGACTTCAAAGGACAACCGCTTACGTGATCCGTTTTGTAAACTTTTTAAAGCGAAATAAATCCGACGCGAGCAACCGTGGTGCAGGCTTGGTGCAAGAGGAGCTGCAGGCTGCGGAAGTTCTACTTTGGAAACTCGCACAATCGGAGGCTTATTGTGATGAGGTAGTAATACTAACGAAGAGCAAAACGTCACCTGCGGATGAACGAATAAGTTAGAGAAGTCAAGCCCCCCCTGTGGAGACTGTCACCAATGATCGATGAGCAAGGAGTTCTACGAGTCGATGGTCGGATATCTGCAGGGAAAGGGGTTCCTGTAGACGTGAAGTTTCCCGTTATATTACCCAGAAATCACCGAGTGACCAATCTCATCGTAGACAGCTGCCATCGAAAGATTCTACACGGCAATTCTGAAACAGTGATCAACGAAATACGTCAACGGTTCTACGTTGCTCAGTTACGAATTGTTGCTCGAAAGGTAGCCGAGCGATGTCAATGGTGCAAGGTGTATAAAGCAAAACCAACGGTGCCTAGGATGGGTCTCCTTCCGTCTGCACGTCTGTCACCGAGTGTTCGCCCGTTCACCTATATTGGCGTCGACTACTTTGGGCCTATTCTGGTGAAGGTAGGTCGATCGTCAGTGAAACGATGGATCTGCCTGATTACGTGCCTAACAATACGTGCAGTGCACGTGGAAGTGGCTTTTGATCTATCAACAAAGTCATGCATAGCCTGCTTACGCCGTTTTGTCTGCCGAAGGGGAGCACCACTCGAAATATACTCCGACAATGGACGG